GAACACTGCAAGCTGTAAAAGTATCAGTGTGTAGGTCTGAGTTTTATGACAAATTGTGGTAGGAGGGATGCAGTTTTTAACATAAAGGAAAGCTGGGTGGATCTCATTCAATTCATTTGGAAGTGTTCCAGATCAACTTCTTGACAAGTCTGTTATCAGAGAGCTCTCATCCCTGCTCACTTTATACTGAAGCTGTCAGTAGTATCCAAGTGATACAGGAATGTGTGTGCTGTCTTTAACTTCTGATTTTAAACTACTGTAGCCATGGCTGTTCTCTTCAGTGAAGTGTTTGAAATGTAGACGTTGAAGCAAACTCCAAATAAAAATGTGGCTAGGAAGACATGTTGAAAAAGTATAACTAATGTAAAGCTGGCATTGTTGCTTTCCCCCAAGGTTTAATGCATGTGCACAATAAGCTTGTGGACCCACTGTACAGTATGAAAGAAAACTGAAAGAAGAACTGAAGAGGAACTCCATGTGGGTCAACAGCAACAGTTTTAGGTAGCAGATGAGTTCACTGCTATGCAATATGCTGAAAACTGTTTAAAATGGGGAATCCTAGGTACTGTATTTTTTAAAAGGTCCAATATCTGTACATTCACATTCCATCTCTTTGCTGTGTTGTGCATTTTGCTTTCACCTTTGGAGCTCTGTTGAGTTTAACTAAAAGGAAGAGAACCAAGCTGTGGGAGGCTGCATGTTGTGTAGGGGGAGGAAAAGCAGAGCACTTACTCTAGCACAGCAATGTAATGCATCTGCCTTGTGTTAGAAACTGGTATTTTATTTCCTGGGATTTGTAGTTTTTGGCTTGAGTAGTGTAACTACACCTTGCATTTGTGTCTTCAGGCAGAACGGTTTTGGCCTTTGTCAATACTATGGACTCGTAGTAGCTGTACAATTTCTACAATGAAATGTTCTGTTTACATATATCTAATGTACACTGAGCTTCTGCACTTGGGTGCCTTAAATTTATCTTAAACAGTTTTGGGGCATCTCAAGTCCTGCTGTACAATTCAGGCAAATAAAAATACAAAAACAGTGCCTAAAAATGCACCAAATTCTTGAAAGTTATAACTTATTCCACAGATAAAAATATTATACTTCTGCCATAGCACTTTTTCCTCTCATGTATTTCAAATTACTTTAGGATTTTTATATTTTTGGTAATTGAGCTTTATATGTAAGGAAAAATCTTTGTTCCTTTCTGGGAGGTACCTGTGTAATTGTACCATTGATGTGTTACTATTAAATGCCTGAAAAGAGGTTAATTGACAGGAATATATTGGCTGCAAGTTTAAAGGATCATGTATTAAAGTCAACTGTTAATCACTTTTCAATGGTTATCTCTCATTGTATCGTTATAAACATTGAGCTGTTACACAATGTTATTTCCTACTTTGAACAGAAGTAAAACAAATATAAATCTATAATTTCAAAATTGCTTTGTTTCTAATAAAACTGACATCAGGAAACCCTGATGTGTTTATTAGAGAAGTTTGGGATTTTGTGCTCCCTTCTACCTAAGGAGCAAGTTTAAATTACTAATCTCTTAACTGTTGTGGGGTTTTTTGGTAGGGGGAGTATGCCCTTGTGTAAAATACTCACTAGGTGAAAGTGCAACAAAGGGGAACTTCAATTAACTTTTCACCTAGGTAAATGACAGCAGGTAGCTTTTATCACAAACCACATCAATCCTGTTCTAACAGTTGAGAGTGGTCCAGTAGTTTCCCAGAGGAATTGGGATGGAGTAGCCAAAGAGCCCAAGCTGCAGCCCAGGGAAGCAGCCTTGCTGAAGGGAATGGGGCGGGCAGCAAGCTGGCTTGCCATTCTTAGTCTTTTCCAGATAAGTCAAGGCTTACAAAAAGTTTCAGATGAAAAATAATCTTGAATTTATGTTAGTATTAAAGAAGTTGAAGCATTTTTTTATGTTAATGATCCTGCATCTTGTGGCAAAATTGGGAATTCGGTTGAGGAAACAAGTTTAGATTCAAGCATGGGTGGAAATACGTAGCCTTTATCCCTCTGCCTCTAAAACTGTTCCTCCTTGCAGCTCCTTATTTTTGTTCTTTAAGCCAGAGTCCTTTCAGTCTTCTGCCTCTTTCCAGCTTCACCAACTGAAGTCCTCTCTTGAGTTCTCTCATGACATGTGAGACCACAGAACTGGTATCCTCTTTTCTCCCTTCACAACCACTGGAACTTCTGTGAAGCACAGGCCCCTTAGACCCACACAGACAAGTATGGATCCCACCAGTATAAGACTCTCTCTGCCTCTTCAGAACAGGCTTCCATTGTTCTCCACGCAGCTTCTGATGTTAAGTTCTACAGGTGTAGAATTCTACTCTAGGCCCTGTGAATCCATTACTTCATTTTTTTTATACTACTCCACTGTTTCTATCATTTCAGTCCTTAAGAGACTTCCAATCATTTTCTTATGAAATACCAATTCTTCAGTGACAATACCCCCCAAACTTGTCAGCTGCTAAAAGTTGCATTAAGCTGTTACCCTGCAGTCTGCTGCTAAAATCTAAATGGCAAAGCAAGCTAACCCCAAATTTATGGATTCTAGGGTTTATTAGTAAATTCTAATTTAGCCCAGCACATACACACAAAAAAAAAAAAGAGCGACTAGAGAGAATCAGGTCATTTTGTGTCAAAGATTAATACTTCACTTCTGTTACTGTTAGAACAGTTACTAACCCGTTCAGCTGAAACCACTGCTCTCAAACCTGAGTTCATGTACTCTCAGAATTACGACTACAAACTTAGCCATCTGAAACAGAAAGCAGTACAATAAGGCTGAAAGACCGAGTTCTCTTAGACTCATTCTCAAGGCAGTTTTATCCATGGGTGTAGCTTCCATTTCATTACGTGACACATTTGATGTGTCATATTCAGCAACTTTATGAAGATTTACTACTTGGATAATCTCTAGTTTACCTTTAGCCTCAGCCTCTTTCCTTGGGGCCAGCGCTCTCTCTTTTAGGTCTACTCACACACATCTTTATCTGCAGTTCCTTAAGGGTCTCTCTACTTTTTTATATGCTATCTTTTAGGATAGCATTCCTGATAGCTTTTTTAAGGTAGGAATAGTAATAATTACATTAATTATAAAGTCTCCATTCACAACATCTCTCCTTTCTACAGGATCAGAAGTAGTATGTATGCTACAGCAGCTTATGTACCTTTAGTAGATATCCCATATATCTTGTTCACATCCAGATCTTTGTTTTTCAGTACAGCTGAAACTGCTTCAAATAAGACACACATATGACCCAAACCACTCAAGTATCAGAATTCCCTCCCTTCCTTTTCCTGTAGACAGGGGGTAATACAGGTTGAAAGTGACCTTTGAAGGTGTCCAGTTCAAGTTCCTTACCCCTACAAGGATTTTCCCAATTCATCCTTGTACTCAGGTTGAAATCTAAGAACTGGTTTATGGTTAATCAATGTCAAAGCATAGTTACAAGCCTAAATTTAAGACCAGCCTTTCCTGGCGATCAGTACATTCGTAGGTACTACCAGCCCTTCGTTCTCTAAAACATTCACAAGAAATGAAGATCTGTGAAGACCCAAATCAGCCCCTAAAGATCTCAAAAACAAGAGCAGCTTAAAAGCATTTGGAGGTGGCCATGCAGTTGTGAACGGTCATTAACATGTGTTAACGACCGCTTTGTTACCACTTTGCAGGAAGCAGCTTCACTGCCGCTTTCTCAAGTCTCTGACAAACTTCAGCCCGTGAACAATGGAAGTAAAACTTCAACACACGCCAAGACGCGTTCTGACCAAACCTCCAAGTCAGAGGAATTGTTTAAGGCCTGAATTGGTCTTACTGGTGGAGCAGTTACATATTTTGCGTTTAACTCCCAATATATTACAATATTTCCTTGGAGATTAGCATAGCTAGACTGTATTCATGGTAAACAGACACACTTTATCAAGTTTAAAATAGTGTGGCACATGAAAACAGAAGTCACAATTCATTTTTTCCTGATTTCCCAACATCATCATGATTTCCTAAAAACACCAGCTTCAGAACGTAAAACAGGAAATAGCTTGTTATTTTTGTCACAACAGTTCAAACTTTTCTTTTTAAAAAGAGCAGTTTGTCTATACATCCCTTTCAATTATTTTTATAAACCTTTTGCCACGTTGTTCCTGTCCACTCATACAAACACTTACAAAGCAAAAATGAACCAAAATTTTGTTAAGTGTTCAAAGTATGAAAACAATTTAGTACAAAAACAATGCAATGAAAACCTTTATTCAGTCAAATTAAGTAACTCATTTCATCATAATCTACAAGTATCTGTACATTTAAGTACATAATCCTTATAATTTATATTCCCATATATATTTAATTTACACCACTGAAAGTCAAATATGTTCCCTCTCACAGTGATAAATTATACATCAGCTCATTATGCTATTCTCCAAAAAGCTGAGAGAATAATCAGCTGCATGCCCCTGCTCTGGTAAGACCCCACCTGGAGTGCTGCATCCAGCTGTGGAGCCCTCAACATCAGAAGGATATAGACCGGTTGGAGTGAGTCCAGAGGAGGCCACGAAGATGCTCAGAGGGCTGGAGCCCCTCTGCTATGGGGACAGGCTGAGAGAGTTGGGCTTGTTCAGCCTGGAGAAGAGAAGGCTCCGGGGAGACCTTATTGCCCCTTCCAGTACCTGAAGGGGCTACAAGGATGCTGGGGGGGACTTTTTACAAGGGCCTGTAGTGACAGGACAAGGGGGAACGGGTTTAAATTGAAAGTGGGGAGGCTTAGATTGGATATCAGGAAGAAGTTCTTCCCGGAGAGGGTGGTGAGGCACTGGGACAGGTTGCCCAGAGAAGCTGTGGATGCCCTATCCCTGGAAGGGTTCAAGGCCAGGCTGGATGAGGCTTGGAGCAACCTGGTCTAGTGGAAGGTGTCCCTGCCCATGGCAGGGGGGTTGGAACTAGATGATCTTTAAGGTCCCTCCCAACCCAAACCAGTCTATGAAATAGATCTCTATTTGTCAGTTTGTCTCTTCAACACACATATAAAGGCATCTCTTGGCACTTCCACATTGCCAATCTTTCTCATTAACTTCTTCCCTTCTGCCTGCTTCTTTAAAAGCTTCATTCTTCTTGTTATGTCTCCACCATACTGTGAAAAGGAGAAATATTAAATGGAACTACAGCAACACTAAACCCGAGGGCTTAAGAAGTCAGAAAGGGTGGTTACATTGAGACAAAAGATTATTCCATACTCAAAAGGAACAAGTAGCATATTCATTTGGACAACTGAGGGTGGAATTCAGTTACCTAAATACACACATTCACGTGAGCCTGGCTGACATCAGACACAGCCTGTAGGGTATCCAAACGCCCTTGGGACAGCAGCAGGATGCCAGCTCAGATACACCGTGGCATCTGGACTAGCACCAGGTGCTTACATCGACATAAATTAACCCAGCAATGTTGAAAAAACACCATCCCACTGATGTGCCTAGCAGAATTCTGTAATAGTTGTGAGAAAGGGACACTTGTTTATTTTTTTCCAACATGTTTCCTTCAGAGAGCTAAAGACGAGTAAGAGGCATCATGTTTTTTCTATAGCACTGTCCAGAGAGTCAACTGTTGCATATCTCGGGCCTTGTCATGATGTATTACTGACAACTCAAGTAAAAGCCTAATCACAATCAGTCTCTAAAGAAGCACTTTCACAGTTTCTTTAATCACCTGGAGAAAACAATTTAGGAAGCATGTGAAGTTACACACGTGTGTGTAGACACACACAGATACATTTACTGTATGTCCACAACTATTACAAAGTGGTGAAGAGACAGGAACGAATGCAGACACACTCTGCCGAGGTCACTCTAAGTGTCATTTTGAAAAAGCCATCACTCTGAGGTTAGAAGAATTGAATTTTAAAATAAAAGCTCAGAAGTATCTCCAAAAAGACAGGCCTATCCCAATAGCAAGACTCTTAGGTTTACATACATCAGAAATATCAAAAAATAAAATAAATACCTACACATTTTGCCACAACATTTTTTCTGTAAGCTTTCAGCCTGCAAAATAAAACAACATATATACATTAACACATTAGAACATCTAGTGGAAGGTGTCCAGGGATGCCCCATCCCTGGAAGTGTTCAAGGCCAGGCTGGATGAGGCTTTGAGCAACCTGGTCTAGTGGAAGGTGTCCCTGCCCATGGCAGGGGGGGTGGAACTAGATGGTCTTTAAGGTCCCTTCCAACCCAAACTATTCTGTGATTCTATGATCTCCTGTATGTGAATCTAAGTACCCATTTGTCAAAACACTAAGAGTTGTTTTTGTAAGATGCACTGGAATCGTGACATTTTCATATTTTGTACACAAAGTTCTAAACAGAAAACTTAATTCACATTTCTCAATGCCAGAAATATCCCTTAGGGTGTACAATATGTACATAAAGATTACAATCTTGCCTTTTTATTTAGGATTTCTGCCATGATTCACACTAAAATGTTACATACATGTGTAGATCCATACATGCAAATGCACCTCTGCTTGGATCCCAACCTTTAATTTTCCTAACACAGTTTAAGTCCTAGTTAAACAGCAATGGCAAAAAACATCACATGAAACAACGTCAAGGAAACAGTTTGTTCTAAAAGAAGAGAGTGCTGCTATGAAAGAGCTGTGTGTTCAGCTTGGAACGTATTTCCTTTGGAACAGCAGAGTTCAGGGGTTTTTTTTGCTGATTAAACTATTCCACAACTAGGTCCTTTTATTTTCAGTAGTAAGAAACTTATTCCACTGCCAAAGAGGAAGTGGACACATGGGTGTTGCAAGTTGTAGTCACCTACTGCAATGCTGACCACAAACAAAGTAAAAATGCATTTTTCCAATTAAATTTATATCAAGTCCTCAATTATAGTACTGCTCAGATGTATTTTTCCCCTCCCAAGAAATCCAGCAGCATATACAAGAAAAATACAACTTTGGAGTTAGCAAAAAAAAACCAAAAGGGAGATAGAAGGGCTTCACTTACGTTTCTCTTGCAATGATTTTCTTGCCAATAGCAGCCTGGATGGCTATTTCAAACAACTGTCTGGGTATGGCACCTTTTAAACGTTCACACAGGAACTTGCCAGTAGCGTATGCCTTGTCACTGAAAAAGAAAGTCAACGGTGTTTTCAGAAAGAGCAATACAACTCCAAAGATGTATCACAAAACTAAACTGTTTGATAAAAGGATTTTAGTACAGGGTTTCCACTTTTTAACTCAAAAGATAAACTGATCAGATTGTAATTTTACATCTAATGAGTGGTCTCCATGTCACCCATTTCACACAAACAAGTGGTAAGGTTGTATTGACAGAGGGTCTTCACATAAATTTAAAATATTTGTAATAAAACACCTTGATTATCTCTCACACTGAAACCATTCTGAATGCTGTCACAGCTTCAAATGCAGTTTTAAACTAGAAGGTTGAGGATTTTCATTGACTGTAGGCCTCTAAGGTCAAAAGATCCACATATTACAGAAGTATTTTTAACACATTTGGTTTTATGTAATAAGAAAAAAAAAAGTTTTAATGTGCTCTTGTAACCTGCTAATAAAGATATTCCAATTATATTCAGCATCTGCATATTCTTTGGATTTTGGAAAGACAAAATGACACAAGGTCTAAAGAAGCTACTGAACAGATCCTTTCATAGGCCAATGAAAAAAAACAGGTCTCTCCTCTTTAAAAAAGACACAGTGAACATTCTTAGCAATCTACAGCTGAATATAGTTTTACATGTTTTCATGTACGTGACTCCCTGCTACCCGCATACAGCAAACTGTTTAAGCACAAAGTACTAGAACTGTAATGCTTCAGCAACATTACTTAAGAAGATACAGGTAATTATTTGTATAAGTAGGACAAATAATCCTGGCTAGCTCAGTACTAAGCTCACAGTGGTCTCAGTAATTCTTTCTCAGTAAACACAATTCAGCATAATTCTTTTTATATAGACATTGAAGTCTATTTAGAGTGAGAGGACTCTGAGAATAACTGAAGCAGGAGCAGAATGAACGCTGTGTACAAGTTAAAAAATGTAATATGGAATCTAAAGCTGAAAAAAGGCTACCATTAGTCTGAGTGAGTGAAAGAGTTCAGGGGCACAAGCTAAGCCGACCAAGAAACAAGTTAAAAGCAGTAACTTTTGCAAGGTTGGCCACACCATTCCGCATCTTTTTCAAACTAGGAGATGAAAGTAGATTAAGTAGCAAATGTATAGAAGAGAGTTACTGCTCTCCGGCCCAGTATGATCCTTCTGAACACAGTAAGGGTTTCATTTTCCTATACTGACCATCCCTGGAAGTGTTCAAGGCCAGGCTGGATGAGACCTGAAGCAACCTGATCTAGTGGAAGGTGTCCCTGCCCATGGCAGGAGGTGGGACTGGATGGTCTTTAAGGTCCTTCCCAGACTAAACCATTCTGCAATTCCATGGTTCTATGACATGTTTCTGTACCTCATGTCAAAACAAGAAATTTGCTGGGGAATTTCGATAGGAATTTGGTAGAAAGGTCAAATCACACATTAAAGTCATGTGCCCTGCATCACTCAAGTTTGGATTAATTAAAGAGCTGAAGAAGTATTTGTGGTAACAGATACAAATTTTTATACTGTAAATTGTTAATGATCGAACTATTGAGATAGATTTTGTCACCCCTAATCAGTTTGTACAATATCTTCTGAATGCCGGGCTGAATCAATCATCACTATGAACAGTGATGACTATAATCTATGCTTGCCTGGTAGGAGAATTCAGAGTGGATTTAACTAATGTTTATGCATCGCCTTTCATGTATTTTGCACTTTATTAGCTCACTTCATCCTGTGTTTCATTCTTTCTGAAGTTAAGGAATTCCAAGGATAACAAAGATGAAAATACAGAGATTTTTAGTGACTGCAAAATTTTAAGAAGGACAAAAAACTCAAACGAAACCCCTGAAAAAGCTGATCTGAGGTTTACTGGAAAGGGATGCTGAAGTTGCAGAAGGGAGCCTTATAAAGACTTTGTGAGAAGAAAGCAAAGGGAGAGGCTGGAAATGTGAAGGTATTGTTCTCACCAGCAAACCAGTAATTCCTGAGAAAATTACAGAAACTGAACCATTTTAGCAAAAAACACTGAGGTAATTACATCCGGTAAATATTTACTTTTTGCTGGTACTCTGGCTGGAGACAAGGGAACCACAAACTTCTACAGAGTGAGAATTACTGGGAACATGAAATCAAAATTTTTTTCAGTTTTTTAGTAATAAATACTAAGTACCATACACGATTCATCTGCAATCTCCTAGACTGGTCTGTATTTAATTTTTTCCAGCTCTGTAGGAGATCCACATTTTGCATTTCCCTCTCCCTGCCCTACATTACCACAAAAAAATATATCTAGCACTTAAATGCCTCTTTTTCAGATTATCTCCAGAAATTATGAAATCCTCAATGCCCTTTTCATATGGATTAGTCATGGATTAGCGATACATATGAATGTTCTCACTGTACGTTAACAGGGAGCCTTACTTCTCTGGAACAGAGAATCCATTCAACCTACTTGTGTACAATCGTTGCCAGTTCTTCAACTGGATTTCCATTTAGAAGAATATCCATTTTGATAAGGTCTGCAGCCTGGTATCCTGCATCTTCATAATCAAAACTAAATGAAAGCAGTTTACAAGTCAGCGAAAGTTTTGTAAAAATTACATTCTGCATTCTTCGTTCCATACATTTTAAGTTTTAGACCCATTTCTTAATAAAACACTCAAACTTTTCATTAAAACAGGAACACAGCTTTTAATAGTCTCTCCGTACATCTCCCTTATGGAAGGCAGGACTAGAACTTGACTGCAGATAAATCTCATCTGCAAGGCAGCACAAGACACCATCCTGCCTTCAGGCTACTAAGCAAGGTAAATTGATCAAAAATCTACATTCTTACTGCAATCTCAAAGAATGTATTCAAACTCTTCATTTCTACCAGCTGGAAGTTCCTTAAAGCTCCAGGTAACATCCCCTTCAACGCAGCTGTTGAACAGTAAACATCCTTGATGCTACACAAACCAAACACTAACGCTGCACTGTCCATCCTCTCATTTGACCCCTATGACCATTCTCTCTGCAAACCAAGTTTTCCTCTGCTCTTCCAAGCTGTATTTTCTCCTTTGGCAAGTATGGGCCTTGCTGTCTGTGCCTGTTTGCAAAAGTTCTTTAAATTGAGCATATTCAGAGATAGATGTATTTTATATACATATATACACACACCATCCTGTATTTAAGTGTAACTGTGGAGAATGCCAATACCACTAGTCTGGTCAGATCTGAAATATCAGAGCAGAGGGGACCAAAAAAAAAAAAAAAGTCCTCTGAGAGTATTTAAAAGTACTTCTATCTTACTTGGCTTCAATAAACCATGGTTGTGCGAACAGATTCACGTAACAGAATTACAGTGATTGAGGGCATCAAATACACAAGCCACATTAGGGAGTCAATTAGGAAATAAAAATTAAGAAATCAGACACTGCAACATTGTTTGCAATCACACCTGAATCAAGGGAAACCCAACATAATTCTGCTAATGAGATAGCTTCTTGATAATTAGATTGGGTTTTATCTTGCTGGAGGGCTAGACCCTGAGAGAAGGTTCAGAATCTCCACCTCCCCGCTTGTTCTAGCTGTCCTTCTTGCCTCACAACTTCTGCTTATGCTTCTATTTCAAATGTACACAAACCCAGGCAAAACACAGCTTACCTTTATAAAGCATATTTAAGAAAACCCAATCTTAAGCCAAATTCAGTCCCTCAATAAAATTAATGTTGATGCTTAGAAAACAAATAATGTACTTGGATATACCAGTTCCTGTCAAAATGTATCAGATCTCACCAACAACACCTCTGCGTACCGGGTTGGTAAGAGCTATTGAGTTTCCTGTGGCATAAGCCCATCCACCATACACCACTTTCCCTCCCACTGAACTCACACATGCTCTTCACGGACAGCGCAGCATCGTCCTAGCCTCTGAACTTACAGGTTCCACCCACAACAGAACACTGTCTCAAAGTACAGATGATTTACTTTACTCCAACAGTAAAGCACATAAGTAAATTAAGTATTGTTTGTTTTAAATATAGTTTGTTGATTGCTTTTACTAGTTTTAGAGAACCAGTATTTGGTTATTTTCCCTGTCACACCAAGAGACATTACAGTAAGAAGTAAATTTTCAGTGGTTCCTTCAGAAAATGCCCACTGTCACTTCAGACAACTAGGAACCATCTACAATTTACTCATATAGATGAGTGAGTGCCGCTCTACACATCACACTTGACAAATACATGCATCAGCAAAGAAAACTATTATTAGGTAGCGATGCACTTTATCAGATGTATTTCCATCAATTTTCACAGTAAATCTAATTGATTAAAGGTGAAGAAAGAATCATTTGCAGCACCACCATAAAAGAATACTCTTCACTTGTGCCCTTCCCTACCTTCCCCTCGGGTCATTTCCCCCACCCACCCCCCCAACTCAGGGTCCAGGGTGGAGGGGAAGGGGGTGCAAAGGAGGTAGTTACCTTGCATAACCAGAAGACAGAGACTTAAGAGCATCGTAAAAATCCACCACTATTTCATTCAGTGGAAAGAGGTATTTTAGCATAACCCTGTGATCATCAATGTACAACATATCCTTCTGGACTGCCCTACGATCCTAGACAAATAAAAATGGTTTCAGTTCCCCTTGGCAGAAGTTTTCTACTAAATACAAAGCAGATTAAAATAAACACCTATCCAGTTACACGAGAACTCCCCCGAGTAACTTTCTTACTGCTAGTTTGCTGAAGTCCCAGAACAAATTGCAGCACCATCATAAATTAAGTGGTTGTAACTTAATTAGACAAATGATTCAAGTCTATTCTCTCTAAAAGCTGAATTTCTGAAATCCTTAACAGTTTCTGCTTACTGCTGCCTTTTAAAGGCATAATTACTTGTCCATAAAATCTCACTGAAATTAGATTTTCACAGAGAGTATTACACTGTAGGACACGCAGGTTCATCTCTCCTGCCAGGACGGTGTTCTTAAATTTTAGGATTTTTTTTTTACTAGATCTTACACTTCACTGTACTGACATACAAGTACTGTCTTTTCTATTATGTATTTTGAAGTGTTAAAGGCCGTGAAAAATATTGTGAAGAAATTACATAAAGACAATGCGTGTGGCAGTTAAAACATTTTTAGTTAAAAATATTCCAAATACACTCGGGGAAATGTGATTGGCCATCACTGTGACAGCTGTGCTCCAGTGAAGCACTGACAACATATATGAAGTCTCAGTGAAGTGCTGACAGAAGTTGTAGTTCCACAAAAACACTTCTAAAATACAGCGGATCTTACTCCCCCGCTGCAGATTCATTCTTTCAGGGAAACAGACCTACCTATGAATTCGCCTAGTGCAGAATGCTTGACTAGGGACTCTGCTGTCACTGCGCTTCATCACTAACTTTCACCATAAGGATTTCATAGTTCAGAAGTAATTTTACACATATGAAGTTTATGTACTCTTGAAAGAAAAACAATGTTTTATTAATTACCATCAAAGATACTATTTAAGCCCTAATACCTAGTATCTTACTATCTGATATCTTCAAGTACGATATGAGTAGCTTAAAAATGCAAGTGACACAACTAAAACTATATACTAACCTGACATAAAGGAATTATTTTCCTAATATATTCATGAGGTGTTACAATCGTACCAAGAACAGTTGGCTCTAAATATTCAGATACTGAAAGTTTATCAGGAAACTGAGCAGGGTTGATAATAGTGATCTCTTCTTTCCCATAGGCCTGAAAACAAACAAATAAGACATACTGTAGTATTACAAATAACTAGACTGAATAGAAAAGGAAGTGAAAATAGCACTGGAAAAAATGCTAAAAAATGTTTAAATTGCTTTGAAACACCTGTGACTTATGCAACCCAAGTTTAGACAAAGCACAATTTTAAAAGAGATTTCTACATCACATACAGGAGTCCCTGATCAGCATAGACTACCATATAGAAAGATTATAGGAATTACTGTCACTAGGAAGAAAATGCTTAAAAAAAACTTATTATCCAGTGTATTTTAAACAGAAGAAGCATTTAGAACTGAGACTACAATCTGGGGTTATCCATGGAAATAAAAAAAGCCTTTCTGTCCATCTTTCTCTCTCTCTCTTGCCTGCAGAGCAAAGATCTCCCTTCTTACTCCATCCTGATCCCACAAGGTATAAGGCACAGCTTCAACAAATCTTCTGCAGTCTGGCAACAGGGACATTTCTCTCTAAACAGAGCTTTGGTTCAGGCTCCCATACAGGCTGAAGTGGGTTTAGGGATTTAAGTTTTTGATTCCTGTTAAAGTGCTTCAATTACCTATTTCTTGTAGTCCAACATCCCAGTAGGGGCTGGAATTATCCTTCTGAAGTAAGGAGAAAAGAAAGGCCGTGCTTCTAACCACATACGTACGTACAACCCCACGCACCAAAGAAAATGATTACATCAACTCCACTGACAAGGCAGCGTCCTTGAACAAGGCCCCAACTCGCAGCACTATTTGAAACCAACACCCCACACCAGCAACCCAGAATCACTTGTGCACCAAATGTGTCGGCTACCTCACTCACAGCTGCTACACTACCTAAGGAAGAAACCAAAACCACTGGTCTGTGCCTTCCACCTTGCACGTACAGCAACGTGTCCTATACAAACTGTCTGCAATGCAGAGATTTTCAGTAGCATTGAGAGGTACATGTTGGATAACAACAAGCTATCCTATTTGCAGCCTCCTTTCAGCAGATGCTCATAAATCCACCTCTCTCAAACTCAAGCACACTGACTTTTTTGCACCCAAATCAATGAAGTTTGATCACAGTGAAATAGGCATATGCAAAAACTCACTTGTCTTCATCAGCCCCTGCCAGTCTACAGTAGCATTACAAGCTATTCCTAAAAATGTTAATATTTCTGACTGATAAAACCTGGAAGATTACTTCACCTGCTTTAAACTCAGTCCAGTCAGCATGAACTTGAAATAATACAGCAGGAAATGTATCTTTTATTCCCATTTTCAAGGGCAGATACAAGATGTAAAAAGAGAGTGCTTGAAGTGGAAGCAAAGTTAACATTCTTTTAAAAAAAAAAAATAGATCTTGGTGTTTCTAATGTTTACCATAAAATAAAGTACTAGTCTACATTTAAAAAAGATGTTTATTATAGGAGGCTTTTAATCTGTATTAAATTTAACATACCTTTATCAACTTTGCTGAGGAAAGGACAGCTTTATACGGAACTGTAGGTGCAGTCAAAATAACTGACATGTTATACTCTTGCTCCAAACGTTGATTAAAAACTTCCATATGTAAAAGACCAAGGAAACCCAACCTGGGAAAAAAATATTCTGTTGGCAGAAGTGTTTCTGTATCCCCTGGAATTTAACAGTGGTAGGTTTTTCCCCCTCCGGCATGCTCACACTGCTGGTCTGGCAACACCAGGCCCAGTGAACAATCACGAAATGATCCCAGAGTTGAACAGTACGAGTCTTTGAGAACAAAAACTATCAATCACAACAAATGGCATGCTCTGCACAAATACAGAACATAAGAAAAATCAAGTGCTTTTGATCTGTACCTATCCTTAATTTGAATTACAGCTCCTAATATTGAATTAATTTTAATTCAACCTTCAGTTGGCTTAAACTTGCATTCTTAATTTACAAACAATGCCAAAAAAAATGAAGCAGTATAAAAGCCTCACCTCCACCCAGCTCCTAAGGCAAGGCTGCTGTCACGATGAACAGTTACACTGGAGTCATTCAATGTCAGCCTTTCCAGTGCACTTTTGAGATTATTATATTCTGTTTGATCTACAGGATACATACCTGTTAAAAAATATTAGAATTGATGTGATGGTCAGCCTCATCTAGTGTGTACTTACCTTTCAAACACGCCTCTTACAGCGAATACAGTAATAAAATCAGAAATTGCTTACTTAGTTTTTTCCCCATTTTAAAGTTGGAACACGGGATTTTTTAATTCCCCCCCTCCCAATTAGTTAACACGTAATAAAGTTTCAGATGACCTCACAAAACCAGGAATTAACATTCAAACCATAATAGCAGGGATACTGTATTCATCTAACTCTTCAGTTGTGGAAGATGCACAACTGATACAACCCCTGTTTAGTGGGGCTGCAGTGTAAACATACAGCTTAAGTATACACTGTATAGAATAAGCAGAAAAATTTCACTGAAGTGTTCGTCCAAAGGTAAGGGTGAACAGAAAAAAAAAACACACCAAAAACCCCAACTCAAAACAAACTGCCACATCTAACAAAGTTGAAAATGTTTCTATGTTTGTTTTTTTTTAAATCAATACACACAGCTGTCTGTATAATTACTACCCGAAATAAATTCTACTGTATCACTTTCTGCATCACCACATGTTCAGAGAATGTCGATTGCTCTACACCAAAAAGCAATACAGGTGCATACAAAATACTATTATTATTTACAGGATTACACCTTTCTACATTCACCGACAGACCCCCTAATCTCATGAGAGAGTTCAACTGAGTTTTACACCCTCCCTCACAACAAGTCTAGAAAGTGATTTCCAGAATTTATTTCTTTCTAAAGCCATCTTCCATAGTATTTGTAGGAGTTACTGAAGCTGGTGGAAACAGCCCAACAGAACTATATGAGCTGAAGAAGTCAGACATTTACAGAATCATTCTGAATATCAGTTTACCATGTTTAATGAAAACCAAACAGCTGCTAATTTCTAAAAGAAAAATTAATCACAATTATTACGGAAACTTGATAATGTAGATGAAGACTTGCCAAAAGTGGACTTACTTTTTTAAAGCCTCAACCCTTCTTTTCCAGCTACCAAGAGTTTACTGGCATTAGAAGCACTAATGGCTCAAGATACATGTTACTCTTGTATTTATATAAAACCAGTCTGCAACTATTATTGACTCTGTCTGTTAAGTCACAGAGAAAATTACACGCAGCTACATAAAAAAAAAAATCACATGCCTCTTCAGCCTTACTTTGCTAAAATTCTAACCCTTGTAATTCTTAATATACACATACACCCTTACAAAAGCTCTAATAGCTCTCTTACTCTTGTTACTTGAAGGAAGTAATTCCACTTGATAGCAGTTCACTCCTCACCTGCAAAAACCATTGGCTTCGCTGACTTAAAGCCTGGCAAAGGCTCCACTGGCTGTTTATACAAAAACAGTGTGTCTCCTATTTGAGCTTCTGTTACTTCTTTCATTCCAGCAATCAGGTAGCCCACCTGTCCAGCATATCTAAATAAAATTGGCATTATATGGACATGCTTCTTGGCATTAGCAGTATTTCCACTATTTCTCCCACCTGACTTACCTCAGTCAGAAATTCAAATAAACCACCCCCCGCAAAAGCCAGATTTAAGTTGTTTCTCCTCAGAGCGGTGAACCTTGTCTCAAGGGACAAACCACCTGTTGACTCAAGTAGCTCTATTTCTGTACAGTTAAACAGTACATTCACAGTTCTGGTTTTTTAATTCTGTGCTACTCCCAGTTGAAAGCTAGAGGGAAGTTCTCAGAGATCTAAAACAGAACCAGAACAGCTCCTAGATGCCAGAACATCAAGTTACAGATGTAAGTCCCAGCACAGCTGGGAGGTGACAAAGCCAGGACAGAGGACCTGAACTGACCAAAGGAATATTCCATGCCACAGAACGTCATGCTTGGCAATAAAAAACAAGGAGTGTCGTCTTCCCAAGGTGCCCTTTACTTGTAGGCTAGCACAGCATCAGTCTGCTTCTGGGAGGTGGCGAGTAATTGATTCCCTTTGCATCACTTGGTTTTATTTATTTTCTTTTTCCTTCACTTAAACTGTCTTTATCTTGACCCTTAAGTCTTTCCTCACTTTTTCTCTTCCAATTCTTTGCACAACCCACTGGGGTTGAGGAAGTGAGCAAGGGGCTGGTTGGTGCTTAATTGCTGGTTGGGTTCAACCCACCACAAAGAGTAATGTAATCTCACTGAGAATCTCCCAAGAAAGTCATTAACACGTACTTGGATGCAAACTGATAAAGCTTCTCCACTAATTCCAAGTACCTGATTTTCTTCCCACTGCTGCCATGAGGAAACAGTTTCTAGAAGCTGTTGCATTTATGGATTTTAAGTTTTCCTCCCTCAAAATACGCTGCAGCAACACCTAAGATGAAGCCCCATTTCCTTCCACTCTTGAACAAGGTAGTTCCTAGAATTCAACTGGACAGCTGAGTAAGAGTATCAAATGCTAGTCTTAGAAATAGCTGTCCAGATGTTCCATGTACTATAGCTGACAGAAAGGGTTCCTCCCCCTAGCAGTGCCCAAGAATGCAGTTCCCAAAAGCTTTTGCCTCAGCATGCCCAGAATCACAGAATGGTTTGGATTGGAAGGGCCCTTAAAGCCCATCTAGTTCCAACCCCCCTGCCATGGGCAGGGACACCTTCCACTAGACCAGGTTGCTCAAAGCCTCATCCAGCCTGGCCTTGAACACTTCCAGGGATGGGGCATCCACAGCTTCTCTGGGCAACCTGTTCCAGTGCTTCACCACCCTCTCCAGGAAGAATTTCTTCCTGATATCGAATCTAAACCAGTGACATAAAAAATCCACCACCAAAGAAAAAAAACAAAACAAAACAAAACAAAACAACCCCACAGACATCCCCCAGCCTTTACCACCCAAAGCGAAAATCACACAGCACTGCAGGATTTTGTATCTTACACCAATTTATGATTTATTCCACTGTAAGGAATTTTTACTTACAGCTTCTGCGTTGGCTGTTCATCTGGAGTCAGAATTCCAACTTCATTAACTTCGTATCTTTTGTTTGTGTGCGCAGATACAATTTTGTGCCCTTTCTGAATCTCCCCACCAAAGAGTGCAATGTTAGCTATGACGCCTCGGAAGTGGTCAAAGGTGGAGTCAAACACTAAGGCTTTCAACGGATCAGCAGTGTTACACTGGGGTCTGCCACAAAAAATTTAAAACAATATATTAAGCACTGTGTTTTTCATTCAATATTGAATGAGCAAGCACCCCCACCCCAAAAACTTTCACTTTAATATAAATAAAAAACTGAGTAATTTTCAATAAACACGTACCAGACATCATTTCACTGTTTCACTATGTATTATGCAGCAAATCTTTGTATTTTATTTCCCCCACGTGCAAGATCAGTACAAATAAAACAAAATCAACAGAAATCCATCATACCCATTTCACCAACGGGAATATTGTATTATGGGGGACAACAAAAATTCAACAGTTACATTCCAATAGCTGAGTTTTTTTAAAAAGTCTACTGATATTTAGGTTTTGCCATCTTTCATAGAAACCTAGTCTCGGATTTTCATTGTGGGCTTTTTAACTATATTAAGTAGTCTGAGGGCTACAATTATTAGCTAATGGTAAGGAAAAAAGAATGAAAAGCAATATGCTGACTGAAACAACTGTGATTTAGCAGATTTGTCATCAAGTTCTTAGATAACAGTCTATTTTAAAGGTTGGGTTCAGAACATGAAACTCATGTTGATATCACAGCAGATATCAATTACCTTTATAATTTTAACAATGCAATGTTCAAAAGGAGTAACAGCACATCCTCGAACACTGAGTTTCATGGAAGCTATATAAACAGTCATGAAATTATCGCTTTTAGTGGCTCACCTCATCTTTCCTTTCAGACAGAACTAATTTTTCTCTCCCACTTCTTAAGAATAAGAAGTCTTCCTTGCTGATATTCACACATTCCATTTTTTAAAAGGACCTCAAAATATGGTGTCATTTTTTCTGATTTGCAATTTGAAACTGACTTAACCAGCTCCAACAGGAGATTTCTCTCACTTCTACTTATAAACAGTGTTGACTTTAAATTAGATGAATATTCAAGTGCAAAGCTACTGTCACTACTGTATGCATGCAACTGATGGTTTCCTAATTAACCTTAAAAGGTTTCATAATTAAATACAGACTTACGGTGGAATCTTCTCAATGACCTTTTGAAGAACTTTTTCAACATTTGTCCCTTGTTTAGCAGAAATCTAAAACAAGTCCAACAATAATTTTATAAGACATGTCTCTTACTAATTAATAGGTAGCGAATGAGTGTGTCACATTTACTTAAGACAGTTTTGATGGCCACAGATAATACTACCCATAAAAGAATGCTGAAGCACACTTTAGAATGCTATTCCTATGAAATGTTTATTTATGGACCCACAATGAGAAATAATTTAAAATCCATCTGATACCGTTCATCAAGACATACTAGAATTTTTAAAAGAGAAGCAGGTTCTCCACACTTGTTTTCCAGGAGAAAAATTTTAAAGAAATTAATGTGTGTCAGACAAAGACAGGTAGACAGATGACACCCTGTTCATTTACTACAACTTCTCTTTTCTGAATCACAGAATGGTTTGGGTTGGAAGGGACCTTTAAGGATCATTCCAACCCCTCTGCTATGGGCAGGGACACCCTCCTCAAGACCAGGTTGCTCAAAGCCTCATCCAGCCTGGCCCTGAAGACTTCCAGGGATGGGGCATCCACAGCTTCTCTGGACAACCTGTTCCAGTGCTCTGCAAACATTTACTACATGTACATGTTTTTCATTAGCTACAAAGCAGATATAATTACACAATCAGCCTTGTTATAAAACTTGAAGAGATCTTACCCTTATACATTCATCTACAGGGATATCAAACAGCTTCTCTATTTGTTTTTCAACTCTTTCAGGGTCTGCATTCTTCAAGTCAATCTGAAAAACAACCAACTGCTAAATACACAGGCAAACACATCTTCCATATGATCCAGCACTGTAGCTTCCAAATATACAGTCAAGGAACCTTTATGTATTTATGAATAAATACAGGATGTCTTCAGGAAAAAGGTCTTTATCAAGTTTCATTTTAGAAAAAGTCTTCCTTGCTTGACTTCGGGAAGGATCCTTGTTTGTTTCATTAGGCCAAACAGCTTTGTCCAAGAGCTGGTAAAATTCTTTACTTCACAGAGTAATTTGAAAGCATAACTGCTACCTATACTGTTTATAGGATCAAGCATTAAGTACAATATACATACACAAAAAGCAATTATTTTACGCTGAGCAGGTTAGAGAGTCAACTGAGAAGTGATACAGGAATTACAGAACTCACACTTCGCCAAGGCAAGGGTCTACACATAAATACAAGACAACTCACACTGACAGATTTCCAAATTGCTTACATCTGTAATTCCCAATTTGAAAAACACGGTTCTTAAGAATTTTTTCCAACCTAACTGATTCTATGGTTCTACTAATCCTGCTTTTAGAAACACCAGATTTTTAAGATCACTGAGATTTTTCCTATCACTTATTACTTGGAAGAAGAGACCAACCCCCACTTCTCTGCAACCTCCTTTCAGGCAGTTGTAGACAGCGATAAGGTCTCCCCTGAGCCTCCTCTTCTCCAGGCTGAACACCCCCAGCTCCCTCAGCCGCTCCTCACAGGACTTGTGCTCCAGCCTCTTCCCCACCTCCGTTGCCCTTCTCTGGACAGGCTCCAGCACCTCAGTGTCTTTCTTGTACTGAGGAGCCCCAAACTGACCCCCAGCACAGCAGAGTACATGTAGGTTAATCTGCACCTTTCTGGCCATTCTAGCTCAAATGCCCATACCAGCTGAACAGTCTCACCTGTATTTAACATGGAATCAATTTGAAACCCTGGAATGCCACAGCTTAAGCTTGTTCTCATTAGCATAAAATACACAGTACTGAGTGTTCCTAAGCGGTCAGTTATTTTTCATACCATGGCCCTTGTTTACTTCAAGCTTATTTGTTTGCAAACTATAACTGATTCAGATTTCCTTCTCAAGATACAATTTACACAATGCTTCTGACCTTCGCTGACCATACAGACTCCAGTAATAATTTTTCAGTGCTGCTTATGAAATACTTTTACATGTATTTTATGAAATAAAAACTGAAGTTTCCAGCAATTACTGTAAAACCTTAGACAGCAAATCCACAAAGTTCTTATTACATTCCAGTTATTTTTTCATTATATACTTTTATTCAAGGACACCTTTCTTATTAATCTTCTACACATTTAAACAACCCAACTATTTAATACCAAACTCTAAAACCTTTATTACCTTATTTATGACAGGAATTATTGTCAGCTGTGCTTCAAAAGCAAGATAGAAGTTTGCCACTGTCTGAGCCTGAATACCCTAGAAAATAAACATTAAAAAACATTTAACATGGAATCTTCCCAAGTTTTGGTGGTTTGGTTTTACACCAAACATTATTCACCAAGTGCCTATATTTGTGTATGTTACTTATTTCTGAATAGCCAAGATCATAACAGGTAACTCAAAAAAACGTATTCTTTGTCCATAACAAACTATTTAGAAATGGACTAAGACAATTTTATGTTTACCATGGTAATAAGACTGCTAGTAAGAAGGGGGGAGGGGACGGGGGGACGGACACGCGACAGCAACTTGTTGTCTTCCCCTTTGTTTACAACAGATCAAGTGGAAAATTACTTATATGGGAATATTCACTATGCATACATGGGCCTAATCTTTTAGGCAATATAAAGAAAAAGCAAAGAACATCTATTAATAAAAAATTTTTAAAAAGAAGACTGGAAGACCTAAATCTCAAAAGTTACCTCCAGTATTCAGACTGGCAAGAAAAATGTTAGCAAGTGTAATGAAAAAATTGGGTTTGTAAGCATTCTGACTGAAAGGCAAATACAGAATACCAAATAATCACACAATATTTAAATATCACTTCAAAAAAAATATACACAATAAATATAAAAACAACAGGACATTTAGAAAATGTAGTTATTACCAAAGCTTACTTAAGGAATCTGCTTGCTCACCAAGCTAGGAGGGAGCAAGTGTGCATTATCATTGAAAGATAGTTAGTTATTAGGGGTTTCTTCCACACAAAAAGGAAAAAAGTAGCATTCATTGGACTCTTGTAGAATTCAATCATAAATATGTCAGAGAAAATTATCATCATAATATTTTGTGAGAATGTGTCCATATTTAAAATCATGATGCCATAATTCTCATATTCTAGTCTGTTAACTGGTTCTTTAAAATGTTTCTTGCACTATACAAATAAAAGTACAACTGGGATCTTTAATTTCACTTCCCTCCAAGTATAGGTTTTGTCTGTAAATTAATGAGTATTACTTTACAAATATTTTACTCCCTCACCCTCCTGCTTCTCCTGAAAACATCAGTCAAGAACCCATTGATCTAGTGGATATAAAACTTCAAGTTTCCAGAATAAATTTATTTACATTTGGCTTATTGTGTCCATGAGCTTTAATGCTGCCAGTATCAGTTTGTATTACAGACCATCAAAAACACAAGAGCAGTTAGTTATAACTGACAGTGTGGTTGGTCGAGGGAATTATCAAGCTTTCCAACAAGGCACTGAAGTTACTCAGATAGGTATTAGCATAACAGCTATAAATTCCCCAGACTGCCATTTGTAAAGTTCATACTATGTGAAAAATTAGGATCTGATTCTTCATTAGTCTTTTACTTCTGTGTCATGAAACTGTCATATCTATCTACACACAAGTATTTGTCTCTAAAATTTTTTAAACTCACTGCTACTCTTCTTAACATAATACTCTTATGGAGATAGACCAGGAGCAAAAACACAGATGGAAAAATTAAAACACACACAAAAATAACCCCCTCACACAAAAAAAAAAACCCTAACAACAACAAAACCAGCTCCACTCTAATCTTCTCTATAGCTTGCCTAAAGAATTGCCAAAATTCTAAGTAGAAAACATAAATGAAGAACTCCACCTCATTTGCATCCACTACAAGTATGACACCTTGACAGGCAGACAGTGACCGGGATACTTCATAGCTGAAATCTACGTGGCCCTGTGGGAAAAAATAAACGTTTACAATTTCAGGTACCTCTAGAGTCTTTTCCAAACATTTTTTATATTATTATGTTTTCATTTGTATAGATGTTCACAATTCTTCTAAAAAAAAAAAAAAGGAAATTGAAAAATTGAATAAACACAAGAAGCCAGAAATCTCTCACTTTTAAATATAAAGACATTTAGCTTAGTGTAATTTAAGCACTGTTTATACTTAACTTACTGGCGTGTCAATAAGATTTAAGAGGTAGTTTACTCCATCATGATTGTAAAAGAGAGATGCAGACTGTGCTTTCACTGTAATTCCTCTTTCACGTTCCACTTGCAGTTTATCCAGCACTTGTTTGTTACGGTCAGTTTTGGCAATCGTTCCTAGGATTAAAAATAAAAGGGTTTTATTACCTCATTCATTACATTAGCTCTCAAAACAAGTAAATCTTGAAAATGCCTTTAACCAGGAGAACATGGGAATGCAGCTCCAAATGAAGATTCTTCCATCTGATTAAGCTAAACTTAACATTTCATGTAAAAATATAATTATGCCTCAACTCTTAAAATTTGTTAAATAAATTTTTAAAATACTTTATTGAATAAGCAGGATACAAAACATACATGAGTCTAAATCAGAGATTAAGAAGCAGCAAAGATTTCGTTCAGTGCTAAGTAATTTTGATGTTCAAAGAAGCTTCACCTATCACTGGAAAGCAGCTCCACTGCCCACAGCTCCACGCAGTGTCAATCTCAAGTGCAAAAGGAGCATTACATAGCTTGACAGCCACGAATTCAAAACACCACTCTCTCACAGGCAGCAGATAAAATTGCCCATAGTGACACAAAGGAGTAATCACAAAGAATAACTTTGACTTTGTTTTACTCACGCCTTAAATGAGAAAAGCAAGACTCTTCCAAAGGGTATTTCTGAGTAGCTAATTTAAGCTCTGCCCTGAAATTAGTCTCATTTTGCTAGATACAGCAATTTCTTTACAGCTTACGTGAAAGAACCCTCTAAGGCAACATGTGTCTCTCTCTTGCAAGGAAAGCCTAGTTTCAGAGTCACTTAAAGATCCCTTTGCACTTCTGTTTCTCATTTTCACTTTAAAGGGATATAGTTTTCCTTATCTTTAACAATAACACAGAAATAAAAACACAAAAGTCCAAAAAACAGTCAGATGAGGACAAAATAAATACCTCTGAAGATGAAAGTAACACAACTTTACCGCTACTTAGAGTAAAGGAAAAAGCAAGTGTATTGGGCAGGTGAGAATCCACAGAATTTACACTGAATTACTAGCAGTTATTCTACCACATTAAATTTAAATCAACAGAGAGCTGTAAAATTCTAAAAATTACACTACACAACTGGCAGCCTAAAAGCACAAACAACTTGGCACTAGAACAACAAATACATTAGAAATAGAATCACAGAATGGTTTGGGTTGGAAGGGCCCTTAAAGATCATCTAGTTCCACCCCCCCTGCCATGGGCAGGGACACCTTCCACTAGACCAGGTTGCTCAAAGCCTCATCCAGCCTGGCCTTGAACACTTCCAGGGATGAGGCATCCACAGCTTCTCTGGGCAACCTGTTCCAGTGCCTCACCACCCTCTCCGGGCAGAACTTCTTCCTGATATCCAATCTAAACCTCCCCACTTTCAATTTAAACCCGTTACCCCTTGTCCTGTCACTACCGGGCCTTGTAATAAGTCCCACTCAGTTTCTTTGTAGGCCCCAAATTTTAGTAATGATCAAAGTTATTGAAACTTACACATCAAGAAAAGGTAATATAAAATGAGAACACTTACCTGTAATTTCCAACAATCTGTCTGCTAGAGTACTTTTCCCATGATCTACGTGAGCTATAATACTGAAGTTTCTAATGCTTTCAACAGGATACGTTGACATATCTATTTTTTCCTGAAAAACCAAAGTTTGACTTCATAAACCATGGTTACAGTCTCCACATACAATACAACTTGGCCTTTGAAAAACAGTTAACTCTCCCCTCTAGAAGCAGCATAGTTTGAACAGATATAAAAACTTCAATTGCCACCTGCATTTAAAATGCTAGCATTTAATTTTAGTCATATGTACAATATACATATGTAATATATATTTATTACTCTAAAATATCGGTATTGTGAAAGGTACTATGTTCTTATGCATACAGGGAGTTGGAAAACAAAAAAAAGTTTCAAGTTGCTTAAAATACTAAACCTAAGTAATAAAAAAAAATTGATTCAGGGGACCATTAAGGATATCATTCTTCACAAGCATGGTAAGAATACGGTGACATTACCTAGCAGGTCAGATAGCAGTGACCTTATCATAAGGAACAAGCGGACTGCAGCTACAAGTAACCGTTATCGTGGCCAAATTAAAAGAATGGTGAAAACCAGCCTGACTTCCTTGGTTCACACACAGAAAGGCCCAACACTAAAATAACTTCTCTTTGTGCTATTCCTGCTCATTTCAAGTAATACAACACTTTTCTTCAAAGTGGTTTCTTTGATTTTCAAAGCTTCCAGCATCAAGAACCAGGAGAGCCCTCATAGCAGCCAGTACCGCTTTACTGAAACACTCTGTTCGCCGATTTTGGAGCTGCACAAAGCTCAGCTCTCTCGCGCAGGCAATGCATAATGGCTTGTTTAGCCTGGAGAAGAGGAGGCTGAGAGGAGACCTGATCACTGCCTACAACTACCTGAAAGGAGGTTGTGGAGAAGTGGGTGTTGGTCTCTTCTCCCTAATGACAGACGATCGGACGAGAGGGAATGGACTCAAGCTGCGCCAGGGGAGGGTTAGATTGGACGTAAGGAAGAAGTTCTTCACCGAAAGGGTTATCACACACTGGAACAGGCTGCCCAGGGAGGTGGTGGAGTCACCGTCCCTGGATGTGTTTAAGAGACGGGTGGATGAGGTGCTGAAAGATATGGTTTAGTGGAGGACAGATACGGTTGGACTGGATGATCTCTAAGGTCTTTTCCAACCTAGTGATTCTATGATTCTATGATCAATGATGCTCCGCGCCAGGCAGAGAAGAAAGCAATCTCGGAGTTCTCCGCTAAGCATCAATTCCAAGAATTAAACACCATTATCCGCCGCGTTCCCTGCTGCATGCCTCGGCTGGGAACGACACACGCCCCTGCAGCGGGAAACGGCGACTCCGGGCTGATGTCGCCTGCCCGCAAAGGCCACCTTCTACACAGGG